GGCGGCGGGCGTCGCGCGCCTAGGACGGCCCGGCGGAGCGGGGAGTCTCGCGCCCAACGGCGGCGCGGGGAGGGGCGGGTTCCTCGTCCCGACGCCGCGTGTCCCCGCCTGTCCCCTGCAGGCCCGAGCCATGAGGAGCACGCGCAACGAGCCGCCCGGGCCTCCCGCCCGCCACGCGCCCTGCGGCAAGTATCCCCCGCCACCCCGCCCCCCGCTGTTGCGCGCGGCAGGTGCCCGCTCTCTTCCGACACTTTGTCCGGGCCCCCGTGGGCCGGTCCCGCCACCTCTCCCTGGTGCAGCGTTGTCGGGTGTACCATAATTATGGCCGATGTACGATCATTTCAACCCTTGTACCATGTACCATCCATACTGGTAAAAGTGGTCAAAATGTACGATAATACTTGGGGCAAGTCGTTGAGGCAGCATAGGCACCTCCCAAGTCACTCTCAGAGAGCCCAAACTGGCATCTGGGCTCGCGGTCAGCACTTCCTTGGGACAGCTCGCCTCAAAATAAAGATTCTATTTTGGTGACCCAGTTCTCACTCATTGGTGAGACAGTGAGCAATATAAAGTAAATAAGGGTTGTTTGCATGCTTGTTTACATACTTAGATATTTTTCAGTGTACAATAGTTTTTCAGCAAATACGATCATCTGGAGCTTCCAATACGATAATTTCACAGTTAAGGACTGGCGATGCCATCCTGGGGGTAGCGAGTTGCACCTGCTGGTGACCCATGACATGAAAAAGAGCTGCTGCTCCTTAGTTTAAAAATGGTTCCATGCTACTTTCATTTTGTGACCCTTGGTTCTTGTCTAGTTCACCACCTCAGTAGTTTGTACTGATCCCAGCTGATTGCCCCCCTCACAAATTTCTGGGGGTCCAGGATGGAGCCAGAACAGGGAAGGCACAGGGCCAACCCACTGGTTACCTAGCAAATTAACTAGGTTGCAAAGGCTACCTATAATGAGGCACCTGAAACACTCACTCCTGGTGGACCAATTACTAAGCATGGCGAACTTGCTCCTGCCACTGAACAAAAGTGTTTTGTTTTTTTTTAATGACTTTCTGTACTCTTCCTCCATAGACAGTGGGTGCAGTAGCCTAATAATACCGTGCGGTAACATATCATAGTACAAACAGTGCTAATATACTACTGCGCAGTATGATTAGGCTACTAAAAGGCATTCATCGCTAAAAAGGCGTTCAGTGGTGCTACTGTGCAGTATCTCTGGTTACTGCGTGTTTATTTATAAGGACGTGGTTATAGAAGTACTAAATTAAATGCACAGTAACCATTGTGCATTAAGGAACGTGTAGATGTGCCAAGTAGGTGGAATATAACTGATTCCAGTGAAATATATATTTAATCGGACACTGTCAACTTAAAAAACACAGCGTAGTCTGAAATGTGTTCTGTCTAGACTGATTACAAGTAACATTGAAAAGTGTTGTAACTTTGGAAGACACTGTCTTTCCTTGTCTGTGTTTAGGATTTGGCAGCAGAACTGTGTATGCTTGGTTTAAGCTCTTTTCTCTAGAGTAAGTCCATTTTCCTTATTTGTTGGTTTCTACATAAATATTAAGGGAGACTCTTAAGGGGAAAAAGGGAATTATTATTAGTTTAAATCACAGAAATGGGGAGCAACCTTCAGAGAAACTGTTTCAATTTCCTTTGTGAGATTGGCATGCAAGAAAGTGCCTTTTGAAAGGACTGAAAGCCAAAAAGTTCAAAAGCAAAGGGCTTTG